ACCTATGCATTTTGTTTTTCTTGCCTAGATGTAGAACCTTGTTTTTTTCACCATTGAATTCCATTTTGTTAGATAGCACCCAATGTTCAAGTTTGTGAAGATCCTTCTGTATCTTAAGCCTGTTCTCTGGCGTGTTGGCTATTCCTGCCATCTTGGTGTCATGTGCAAATTTGATGAGTTCCCCATTTATCCCCTCATCCAGATCACTGATGAAGATGCTGAAGAGTCCCTAAAACAGAGCCTTGGGATACTCCAATGTGGCAGAGTTTTGGCAGTGTGATTAGTATGAGATAAACTCAAGAGCAAAACACAGCGCACAGACAATTAACAGTGGTTCATACACATACATACATACATGGAGATGAATTCCCTTACCGTTCAGCTCGGACACGAGAGAAAACAAATACATGATGGGGGAGAGAGAGAAACACACTTTAATGACCACCTATATAGAGACTTGTGCGGATCTCTCATCAGGGTCTTGAAAGGGTTATTCCATAGCTGCTGGGAGTCAGCCTCAGGGCATCGGCCTACTGAGTACAGCTTACAACCTTCTTGGGAGACCTACTTTGATATCTCTCCTTCCAAAGTTTTTCTTTCTCTCTTCCTTGTTGTCCCCGCCACCCCTTCTTTTCAGGAAAGGTGAAAGAGCTGAGCTATGACTCCAAGGCCAAGCTGCATCGCCTCCAGGAGTTCTGGATCAGCCGAGCCAGTGCTGAGCAACGCAAGGGCCGGGCAGGCCGCACTGGGCCCGGGGTCTGCTACCGCCTCTACGCTGAATCGGACTATGACAATTTTGCCCCCTACCCAGTGCCAGAGATCCAGCGGGTGGCACTGGATGCTCTGATTTTACAGGTAGGCTTGCTCCATGGCAGCAGTGATTCAAGGCTGTGTGTTGGGGTGGGGGGGGATGTCACGGGAAAGCCCCCTCTGGATGCCTCAGACGGCCCCGTAACTGCACAGAGGGAAGGGCTGCAGGCTGCGTGGTCTGTGAATGCCCAGGGAGGCTTTGGCCTCCAGATGCAGAGTGCTGGCTGATGCCTGGCTGCCCTGCGGCTGGGGAAGTGCTTCCTTCATGGAGGTCTTCTGAGAAGAGCCACCACCATCTCCCTGCTTTGCGGAAAGCCCCATGTTCCACTCCCAGCATGGGGAGGCGGGTGGATGGGCAGTAGATGATGAGAAAAGTTGTTTCCTGTCTGGGCTCTGGAGATCCGAGGCCAGTTGGCCAGTTCTGGGCACAGAAGAAGCGTCTTCCAGGGGCCCCTCTGGGTCTTCCTAGGTCAACCCTGAACAAACCCTTGGATCTGGCCGTCTTCCCTTGAGAAAGAACCCCTCCCGTCCTTCAGGGGAGCAGCAGAGGGGAGTTGGACCCAACGGGTAGGAGAGCCTGGCCATCCTCGGGGGCCATCCTCGGCCTGCTTGTTAAAACGAAGCCGCCCGCTTTCTGTCCCCAGATGAAGAGCATGGGCTTAGGCGACCCCCGAGAGTTCCCTTTCCTGGAGCCGCCCCCTCAGGCCAGCCTGGAGGCCGCCCTGGGCTACCTAAAGCATCAGGGTGCCCTGGACTCAGCAGAGGCCCTAACGCCCATTGGGACTCTCCTGGCTCAGCTGCCGGTGGATGTGGTGATTGGTGAGTGATGGGTGCAGCTGGCAGCCCTGAGGATCAAGGCTTCTCTCTCCTCTCGGGTCCAGTTTGCTGGGCTGCTTCCAGACTCCTCGTCATCTCGTCATCGGCCTGGTGTGTCTTCCTGGAACTGACAGCTCCGTGCAGGGCTCAGCTTGAGTTCCGTGGGGTGGGCATTGGGCTGAACCTTGCTGGAAAGTGTGGGTGGGGCCTTCTCTGGCAGTGGGGAGGGGCTGCCTGGAGGGGCACTGCCTGCTGCCTCACGCCCTGTCTCCCTCTGCAGGGAAGATGCTGGTGTTGGGGACGCTCCTGGACCTCGCTGCCCCCACGCTCACCATTGCCGCCGTCCTCAGCGTGCCCTCTCCCTTCCTGCACAGGGGTGGGGGGCACAGGGACCTGGAGTGCCTGGCAGCCCGGCGAAGCCTGGGGAGCCCACTGGGAGACCCCCTGACCCTTCTGAATATCTTCAACGCCTGGGTCCAGGTAGGCAGGGCGCGGGAAGGGCCACAGGTGCAGCGTGAAGAGCTCGACGTGCCAGTCCTTCTCTTCCTCCTGTGCGGCATCTTCCTCGAGAGCCAGAGGAGCGTCAGGTGGGAGGATCTCCTTCCAGGCTTCTTTCCCAACCCAGGGCCCTCGTGCCGGGATATTTCTCTGGGTTCCCTGGATCTTCTCTCGGCATTTCCCCTTTGCTCTTTCGGCTGGGCAACTGGCACCCCATTTGCGGCAGCATCCTTCCAGCCAAGCTCCATTCCTGCTCCAGGCCAGGGGATGGGAAGGCCTTGCGTGGGGACAGAGCTGGGCCACGCAAGTCAGGCTTCCCTGGTCTTTGGCTGGCAGGAGAAAGCGGCCAATTGCCGAGGATCCCAGCGATGGTGCCGGCGTCGGGGCCTGGAGGAGCACCGGCTCTATGAGGTGGCCAATCTGCGGCGCCAGTTTCAGGTTGGTGTCCGTTGAGAAGGGCTGGGAGTGAGGATGGCCGCTAGGCAGAGGAAGCTGGGCGTCTGGTGGTGCGGTTGTCTTGGTGACATGGAGAGGTTGTGCCATTCTTTGTCTTCCCTCGCAAGGACACCCTTGGTGGAGAGGAGGAGAGGCGGGAGGGGGCTTCCACAGCCTTGAGCAAGGGTGGCCTATCTTTTCCCTCCGGTTGCTCTGCCAGGAACTGCTGCAGGACCACCGACTGCTGTGCCCCCCTGCTCGGCCTTGCAGCTCCTATGCTCGACAGAGGAGGAGGCGGGAACACCGAGAGCTGCACAGACTCAAGCGGGAGCATCAGCAGCGGGGGGGCCGCCGAAGGAAGTTGTTGCGGCTGCAGGAAGAGGAGCAGCAAGAGGGAGGAGGAGGAGGAGGAGGAGGAGGGCGCGCTTGTTCATCTGGGGAAGAGGAGGAGGAGGGCAGTTCCTGCCTAGACATTCAGGTGGGGCAAATGAGGGGAAGGGCCAGCTGACTTGCCCTCTCCCTCTCCCCCCTCCTCTCCCCCCCCCCCTCTCTCTACACACACACACACACAATTTTTATTACAGATTTTTAAAAAGCTTGTAAAAATACAAGCTAATATAAAGAAGAAAAGAAGGAAAAGAAAGAATTAAAAGAGAAAGCAAAAATCAAGAGAGGGGAAAAAGATACAAAGAAAAGCAGCTTCTGATTTTCATAGCAGTTATACGTACAGTTATAAACTTACCGCTTGTTCTGTGGTTATAGGGGTGGCAGGATGGTTGAGATGCTGGCTTGTTGGCCGGAAACTCAGGTTTGAGACCTCCGTCTTCACCTCAGCTCCTGCCAACCTAGCAGTTTGAAAGCAAATGTGGGTAGATTAAACAGGTACCACTTGGGTGGGAAGGTAACAGGGCTCCGTGATGTCATGCTGGCCACCTGACCATGGAAACATCTTCAGACAGCCGCGCCCTCTAGAGTCAGCAATGCATAGTGGACTTAATGGCCACAATTGGGACTAGAATTTCCATTGCTAAGCAATGTGGTTGTTACGTGAGCCGTGCCTGATTTTACAGCCTTTCTTGCCACAGTTGTTAAGCAAATCATCGTGGTTGTTAAGTAAATCAGACGTTTGTGAAGTGAATCCAGGCCCCCATTGACTTGGCTTGTCAGAAACTGACTGGGAAGGTCACAAATAATGATCACGTGGCCCCATGTCATGGGTACATGCTGGCCCAAATTGTGGACTACTTTTAATGCTGAATCTGTGCACACAAAAATCTCACTGCACGGACGAAAAGAAAGTTCCGTGAAATGGAGATTCTCTTATCATCCAGGTCACGGTTGTCCCCCAAAGGTGTTTTTTCAAGAAGCAACTGGGCTTTCTGGTTTTTCTTCGAAGACGTTTTGCTTCTTCTTGGATGAGAAGCAGGACGTCTCCAAAGAAGAAACGAAGCCTCCCATGACTTTTCCCCAATGGCTCGTCCGTGAACTCCAAAAGAAAAACTCACCAGTTTTTAAAATCCTCTGAATCAGGGCTTGTACTTGAATCCAGAATTTTCTAGCTTTTTGCACACCCACCAAGCGTTGGCCCTACTCTAAGGACAATGGGGCCCCTTCCCTCTCCTCCTCCTCCTCCTCCTCTTTTCAGTGGCTGCTTCTGTGGGAGCGGCAGGCTCCCTCTCTTGGGTGGGCGGTGGCGTCTTGGCCTCTGGAAGGAACGTTGGGCACTTTGGAAAGCACACGGAGGCTTCCTGCCTCACCCAGAAGTGGGCGTTCGCAACGTGGGGAGGCTGGAATGGGGGCTTTCTAGAGGGCCCCCGGAGGCACTTGGGGGCCACTGGGGCTCAGTGCTGGGAGAGGGAGCGGGGGGCCTGCCTGTGTCTGCCTTTCTGCACCTGCAGGCGGCTGGTTGTATTGTCGCCTTGCAGGATGTGAATTTTCAGCTGCGGCATGATATGGAGGAGCTGCAGGCGGCTGCCTGTGAAGGCCACGGGCTCTCGACTGGCCAGCTGGCTCTACTGCAGCTGGTGCTGGCTCGGGGCCTTTACCCTCAGCTGGCTGCCCCCGACCCTTTCAACGAGACCCGCAAGGATTCGGAACAGGCAGGTGTCCCTGCTGGCCCTGGTAGCTGCTCTGCCCTCCTGGAGGTCGAAGGGGGTTGGAGTCAGGCCTGGCGTTGCAGGGGGAAGGTCTTCCTAGAAGTTGATGGTCCCCTAATTGGTCCCCTGCTGTGACTCCCCCCTACTTGCTTATTCCTTGTTTTTTTTATTGCTTCAGTCTGTATAGCCGTATAGCCTTAAATCTTGCACATGATCCGGGTGGCTGGCAGCAGTTAAGCACGAAACAAAAGAATACGGCGTATAAACAGTTGAAAGAACCGATGAAACCGTCCTTGTCTGCCCTCCAGATCTTCCACACGAGAGAGAAAGCCGGCCTTGTCCTGCACCCAACCAGTGTCTTTGCTGATGACCCAGAACTGCTGCATTCGGGCTCCAAGGCTGGTAAGGGCCCAGGTGAGGAGGAAGCCCATCGGCCCCAGGAGAATCTCAACTCCCGCTGCCCCGAAAGAGTCAGGAGCTGCTTTCTGGCTTTCCCGGTATTCCTTGGAGGTTTTCTGTACTGGATATCATGGTTCCAGCCTGACTTTGAAATGAAGTTAGTGGGGGGAGGAGGAGGGAAAACCCAGGATTATTTCACAGAAGGAGTAAATAATTTCACTGGGGGAAAAACATGGGGGTGGGGGGTGGGGTGGGAATGAGCCTTGTCCATCTGAAGCTTCTGTTGCTGCTTATTTACCATTCTTGCCACCTGTGATGGTCTGTTCCTCTGCAACGGTTTGAATGAATCATTCAAGAATGATTCTTGAAATGGGCTGGCTGAGTGCTGCTGCGTCCTGAGCAGACTGGGGAAAGAAAGAAAAAAGTCAACCAGATTTGCAATGCAGGAAAACCTTGGATAATATTTTTTAGAATCGGCAACTCCTCCTGTCAACCCAATTCACAAGTGACAACTTCTGTTTCTACTGTGGGATTTATTATGTACTTATCATTCCACGCCTTCTTTGATTGATTGTGTTTTATTCATGTCACGATTGAAATAAGGCACAGGGACTTTTGGATCTGGCTTTCTTCTGCACCTGGAGGGCAGCTGGCAGCCCTGGGTTCTGGAAAGGCTGCCCTGAAGCAGCCAGGAAGTGGACGTTGTACGAAGCCGCAACCAGGCTGCCCTTTCCCTTCATGGCTGGTCCAGCTGGAGGGCCCTCAAGGGCGGGAAGGAGATTTTCCCAGAGTTTAGGAAGGACGGGGAGGGGCTTTCAGAGGAACCTGAGGGAGTGGCCTTCCTGCCCACAGATGCCAAGGAGAGGATGACCAGCCACCCCCAAGTCCTGTTCTTCGTCTCCTTGCTGGAGACCCACAAGCCCTACCTGGTGAACTGTCTCCGCCTGCCGGCACTGCAGGTGAGAGGACTCTGGCAGGCTCTGTGTCTTGCTCCGCCCCTTGGGTTCTCCTTCCTGAAACAGCTGCTCTTTCCCACAGGTGCTACTGCTTTTGGCCCGCTCTCTCGATACCAATGCTGACTGCACACGCATTGTGGCTGACTCCTGGCTTGAGCTCCAGGTCCCCGTGGCAGAGGCGGCCGTGCGGGTACTCGGCATTGCCCTACGCCTCCGGGCCTCTTGGGACAAAGTGTTGGACAGGTGTCTGCAAAGATTGGCAGGCCAGGCTGAGGAAGAGAAAGAGACAGAGGCACCACCCAGCGCCTTAGAGGTGTGCCAACTCACACACGAACTGTTGAGCTTCCTGAAGACGGAGGTGCGTGGCTGTGTCATAGGGAGGCAGGTGGAGGCTGGCCAGAACTGGTAGGCTGCTGTCTGGAGAGAGGCTGTGGCTGCTGGGTTAAGGAGTGCTAGTCAGGCGGAGGGGCTCGCCCCCTCTGCTTCCAGCATCTCTGGTTGTCCCTTTAGGTCCAGTACAGCCTCCGGCGAATGACCCCGCTGGAGCAGCAGCACCTGTATGTGGGCCCTCGGGTGGCGCCTGGGGAGGCTAAGGGGCTGCCCAGCTTCTTCCAGGGGATGCAGCTGGTGCCCCACGAGGTGAAAGGTGGCTACAGGATTGGCGAGTTCCTGACATTCAATTGTCTGGCAGTGAGTCCAGGTTGAAGGAAGAACTCCTGGGATGGGGGGGGGGGTGTTTCTCGTTCCTGGCTGTGGGAGGGGGCAGCAGCCCACCCACCCTGTGACTACTGCCTCCTTACACCCCTGCAGGGGGAGGGAGACCTGTACAGTGACTGCCTGCGCAGCTTCTGGACATGCCCTCGATGCGACCTCTACATGCCCTTCACCCCTCTGGAGCGTGTGGCCCATGAAGAGGCCTGCCGGTCTCCTGACCCTCAGGACAGGGAGCTTGGCCACAAAGGCAAGTACTTCCGTTGCTGCATTTTCAGCAGGGTCTCCTGGCATTTGGGAAGGAGAGGGGCAGGGTCTCATCTGCAGAGCTGGAGCATTGGGGTCCCTCTCATTGTGCCTTCTCTGCTCCCCCAGGGCCCAGAAGCGGTGCGGCAGAGGCTGCCTCTGGCACCTCTGGCCTGCAGCAGCTCTACCACTGTGCCGTCTGCCAGGACAGCCTGCATCTCACACCCACAGAAATCCTGAAGCATCAGAAGCAGCATCGGGGGCACCTGTGAAAGGACCCTGAGCTGGTTCTCACTGTTGGATCACTCCCTGGAACTGGCTGTGCTCGGAGGATGAGCCCAGAAGAAGGCGATGCTGGTTGCTCCCCAACAAAGAGCCGAGGTGGCGCAGTGGTTAGGGTGCAGCACTGCAGGCCACT